TGACAATGGAAGTCATTTTACTGCCAAGAATGTTACTAACTGGTTGCACTCCGTGAGTTGTCGGCATGTTCTCACTCCACCCCGACATCTGCAATCCAATGGCGCAGCCGAAAACTTTGTACGCACGCTGAAGAGCGCCATTTCTTCTTTGAATCCCAGTACATTCGACGAACTGGACAGAGGCGTTGATAACTTAATGATGCAATACCGTAACGCAGTACAGGACACAGTACAGCAAAGCTGTTTAAGAGTCGAACAAATCTTCTGCTCTTGGAGTCTGCGGAAGTCGTGTATCATAGCGGTAACTATTTACTACCCTCCAGGGGCATTGTACTGGACAATATGGGACAACGAGTATGGATCTAAATGATGGCACTGTACATTGCAGACATGTAGACCAAGTAATTTGTAATTTGCCCAATTCTGATACTAGTTGTGAACCTACTAATCCTTTTATTTCTGAGTCTTTTCCACAGGAATTACGTCCCAGTACAAATGTTGAAAACATTACAGAAGAACCCAGAACATCTGAACGGTTACTCAACAAAGCCCGCCGTGATTACAGAAGACCGGAGCTTCATTCAAGCTGCGGCGTATGGGGTAATTGCTCATGAACTATGAACTCTTTTGTTTTATTGAACACGATATCCTTGCATATTCCTAATTTCCGCCTATTACAATTCCATTCCGCCTCTGAGTTGACTTCTGATTTCGTTTCGAGTTCTAGTTCTGGGTCGGACTATTAGTGCACGGAATCGATACGTATACAAAATACTAGTCCGAGTACGAATTACAACAGACATCCCGTCAGAAAGGGTCTGCAACGGTGCTTGATTCTGATATCTAGGGCCTTTATATTGAGTGCAAAGTTCACAGGATAGACAGGCGTTCCGAAAATCACCGTTGATGTGGCCACCAATATCGATGTCTCGTGGCCTGTTCCAGCTTACTTTGCCCCTATGGGTCCCAGCAATGTGTGGAGGCGTTGTAGTAAATGGAACACTTTAGTTTCTTGGGCCACTACCGTACGGCTGTGTGTAGATCCCGGTTCCAGATACATCGCTCCATCCGCGAACACAATCTTGTCCCACAGGGACCGCAGACAGCGAGCCTCCTAGCTGCTCCCCACCATCTGCTCTTGATGAGATCACCCTATACCACTCTGGAGATGTTTGTATAAAACAGCTAGATCCAAGTCTGCATTCTGGATGGCTTCTCAATATTTACCCAAGTCTTATAGGAAAACTGCTAAGACTGTGTCGGGATGGCACGTTGGGCAGTCGCCATGAAATCTCGACGGTCGCATCGATAACTCATCCGCGTTTTTGTTTATCGCTCCCGGCCTGTGTTCACATTCGAACTGATATTCCTGCAGGGTTTCTTGTCATCTCACCACGTGGCCTTCTGGGTTCTTAAAGGTTTGCAACCATTGCAGTGACGAGTGGTTGATGCACGTACTCCAATTCACACCTGAGTGACGCGTAGCTGAAACCGATACGATTCCCGAAATAAAACACGATTGATCAGTAATGTTCTACGGCACTGAATTAGAGATGTCATTACAAAATGTGCAATAAGGTAAACCTCAAATATGCGGCCAAGCAAGTGCGCCAAATATAATGTCCAGAGAGAGCAAAACAGTCGCTCACGTTCTCTAATCACGCTAAATTCAAATGTACCGGGCACCAAATTAACAGGTAAAGAATAATGTATGGTGTTTGTAATTGACTCATGTCAATAGAGAAGCAACACACAGATAGTTATGTCAACATAAATCATCATGTGTTTGGAAGGATTTTCAAACATCAACATGAAATACAGTCGGTCCTAACCAAAAACTTCCACCCCAGTAAAAAGTGACGAAAGTGCCGCTTAAACCACCGCCAGCATCTCATTACGCGTCGTACAGTAATTGCGCTAACTGTTATTTAACGTTCGACTACCATAGGCGACAATTGTTTCGGTTTTGTTTGGAAACATTTGTGACAAGACTTCCCAAATAACAACATTACTGGTGTCTGTGTCTAGCACGAATTGCCCTGCTGCCGAACTGGTATCTGGAAGTGCAAGGATTAGGGCTGAACATAGATACTCTTTTAGTCGAGCAAATGCTTTTGAGCAATCATCATTTCAATGGAACTTATGACCGTTCTTCAACAGTTCGGTCATGGGGGCACTAGTCGTAGAAAACTGAGGGACAAATCTTCGGTAGTACGCTGCCAGCTCGAGAAAACTTTTGAACTCCCCTAAGTTAGTTGGTCGGCCACTTTTGCACATGTTCAACCTTGCCGAGGTCGCAACGTACTCCTGGTGGCGAAATACGCCTTTCTTAGTGTTTAGTCGTAACTCTACCTTCCGTAGGCGCCCAAAGACGTCCCTTAAATGTCATATGGGGTCTTTATCGAGCTGCCGGTGATAATGATATCATCTTAGTAAAATACACATTTCTCTGGTGACAGACCGGTTAATATTGTCTGCATCAGTCCTTAAAACGTCGCGAGTGCGTTTGGTAATCCAAAGGGCATGGTATCAAACTCGTGTAGACCAGTAGGGTTCGCAAACGCCGTATTTTCTCAATCTTTGGGGTTCACTTCGACCGGCCAATACCCCGATGCAAGATCCAAAGTATTAAACCACTTAAAGCCTGATAGTCTGTCCAGCGTATCATCAGTACGAGTCCTTACGTGTGACCGCTTTCAGCCTCCGATAGTCGACACACATGCGTAGCGACCCATTATTCTTCTTAACTAGGACTACTGGAGAAGCCAAAGGGGACTTAGACGATCTAATAATGTCTTGCTGGATGATTCCTTCCGTCAAATTGTTCAACTCCGCCTACCGGTGGATGGGCACGCGTCGTGGTGCCTGCCTGATTGGTCTTGTTTCTCCTGTGTCTATGTCGTGGCGAACCAACTTTGTTCTACCTAGTGGTTCCCCTTCCCATGAGAAGATCGAGAGGTATTCTTGCATTAGTTCCCGAAACTGAGTTTGAGTCTCCCCGGGAACTCCTTCAGAAACGGATGCTATCAGCTTTTCGAATCCCGTGACCTTTGGGGACTATCCTTGCACGTTTGTGTGTGAACTCATATTTTGCTGTTCCATATAAACACTCACCCAGGAACCACCTATTGATACCCGAAGTGTACCAAGATTGATGATACTCTTCGTCCTTCGTAGAAAATCGGCCCCCAACAAGGTGGTAACCGGGACATCCTCTACAGCCGTGAATTGGTGGTTAACTTTCTGTTTGCCTACTCGCAGCGACAACGGCACCCTCCCGTGTATGGTTAGCGATGACCCATTTGCTGCGACCAAGGGAGTCTCCTTTAAGCGATTGGCCTTGGATTTCCAAACAGTCTCCTTGTTACTTATCAAACTGCGGACTGACCCGGAATCTAACAAATGATTAACTGGTTTGCCCTGCACTTTTACCCCCACAAAGGGTAATCGCGCGTCGATAATCATAGCAGTTAAATTATTGGCATCAACAACTTACATTATGGACTTACTCGATCCTCCTCGCTCCCCGCAAGTTCGCGAGGTATTTCCGAATTGTAGATTGATGTGGCATGTGGGCACCGTTGGGGATTTGCTTTCACCATTTTCTTTGGTTGGTGCTCTTCGTTTTTGTCTATAACGTGCAGAGAAAACTCCTTGTGCTCGCTTTTTACATTGCCCGTTCCAGTCCAAGATCCCGGCAATTGATTTTTCGGCTGCAAGGTCTTTTGGTGGCCGTAACTGTCGCTCATCTTTGGCTCTGTTTTCACGGAGCTCAGCCAGAAATCGATCCAGAAGATGTGAATTACGTTCCTCGACTGTGTACATAAGGTATGCCAACCGAGCACGGCGCCGCACGGACCCCATACAGTCCATCAGGCTTTCCTCAGGTCGCTGCTGTCGTATGAAAACTCCTCTCGGTATTCAAATGTCGTTTTTGGTCCAGTTAGTCGCCGCTTCTCAGGGTTACCAGAAGGCTATCCACATTGTCTGGGAGGTTGAAGTCAATTACTAACTTGCAGGCCTACCTCGTTAGCAGATTAATCACCGCATCTGTCCGATGCGAACATAATTTCGTACCTGCGATTCCCAAACGTCAAACTTTCCTCCAGGCATGAATTTTTCCGGGGCCATGAGCAGTNGTGAGATCCGTTCAGAAGGTGACGCGGTCTCTATCTTTGCCTCCGCTTCTGCGAACGGACCGAGCAAACGGAAGAATTCTTTTGTGGGACTGGAAAATTCAGGCATCTTTATGTAGGATGCATAGTCGTTTTCGGTCCTGCCGTGGGTGTCAAACTTGAAATATGTGACTAGCTATAACGAGGAACAACACGGCTAGAGTAATCAACGCCTCACGATACCACAGCACTCAGCAGATAACAGATGAGTGAAGAAGCGTCTATTTTACTGAAAGCAACTTGTGTATATTAAAACTGTACACGGGTATATAAGGGGGAAAGTTCTGGGGAAACACGGCAGCTAATAAGAATTCTTTGGGTTTTCCATAAGTACTTCGGTCAGTCCTGAATAATAACAATGAAAACAATAATAGCGGTATGTTTCGCGAAGCCTGTTAGGCATGCTAGTGCGCATGATCAAATGTACAACAATGTAAAAAGAACGACGGTTGGGACAAAAAGTAATAGTACAAAGAGTGTAGGAAAGTAATTTTTCAGACAGGTACGGAAGTTATCGTAAATGTGCATTGCGCTGTAAAGGAAACCCAAAGCGGACAAGGTCATGTAATTGAGTACTGGGGGCGGTCACTTATATAAAGCACATCATTTTGAACGTTTGTTTTATAAGAAATAATGCGAAGGCAGGAAATTGGAATATCCGCTTGGGAGAAAATGCGCGGAAACGAATTCAGAAGGAGAGTAATCAAGAAGAAAGATTCATTATTTCAGAGGCAGAGTTGCAATCGAGCTGAGAGAGGGCACAGTGATGCAAAAGGAGACAGCAAATGGCTTAGAGATAGACTGCTTAAAATGTCGATACAGTTGGAATGGCTTCTGTGAACAAAGAACAATGAGCTTTGGGGCTTCGCCGCTAACGGACTGTTTGGTTTATATTATTTATATTATTGAGGCGTTGGTCGCTTTGAAGTGGGACTGACTACACGCTGGACACCCAACCTTAAAACACCATGTAGGTAAGGAAGGGGGAGGCGGTCCATTCACGTTTATTAGGATATCAGGCGATACCGTTAACGACTTCCAATGGTACCGTCTTATGTGACATGTCTACAGGTCTCCCTCGACTTGTAGTACCCTCATCCTATCGTCGTTTAGTCTTCGACACCTCACACGGTCTATCACACCCAGGCATCGCAGAAACACTTCGTTTGATTGCCCCACGATACGTCTGGCCATCCATGAATAAGGACGTTCGAATATGGGCTAAATAGTGTCTGCAGTGTCAACGATCCAAAGTGCACAGGCACGTAGCTGCACCCATCGGTACGTTTGCTACTCCTGATGCTCGCTTTGATCACGTTCACATCGATAATGTAGGCCCATTACCACCGTCACACAAGTATACTCATGTACTCACGTCTATTGACAGGTTCCTTTGGCCGGAGGCTATTCCCATCTCTACTGTCACGGCCGAAGCAGTGGCTCGACATTTCGTAGAACGGTGGATAGCACTACGATTGTGCCTCTACTGTCACGACTGACAGAGGAGCACAATTCGAATCAGAAGTATTCTCGT